CGCCGGGCCTGATGGCACCGAATGGGATGGGCCTCTCTCGGAGAGGGATAAGGATCTTTAGTCAGGAGTTGGCAGGGCTGATAGATAGGGCTTTAAACTAGAGTCGAAGGGGGAAGGGGCTAAAACCAGGCACGCCGGTGAAGACCTAAGTACGCTAGAATCAGAGGGGCTGTGTGCCAGTGAGGTCCTTCGGTTAGATCCACAAGGTGCTGAGTGTAAGGAGACGCACCTGAAATGCTTCTACACGAACGCACGCAGTATGAGGAATAAAATGGATGAGCTAGAAGTACTGGCCCAGTCCCGCAACTACGACATCACCGACATAAGCGAAACCTGGTGGGATGAGTCCTGTGACTGGGGTGTTGCGATAGATGGTTACAGGCTCTTCAGGAGGGACAGGCAGGGTAGGCGAGGTGGTGGGGTGGCGATGTATGTGAAGCAGGGGCTGGACTGTGTGGAACTCCAGGTCGGCGATGGCAAAGTTGAGAGCCTCTGGGTAAGGATCAAGGGACGAACGAATAAAGGGGATGTCGTTGTGGGAGTCTATTACAGACCGCCTGGCCAGGACGATAGCGCCGATAACTTATTCTTTACAGAACTAAGAGAGGCCTCGAGATTAACTCCCCTTGTCCTTATGGGGGACTTCAACTTGCCAGACGTTAACTGGGAGTGCCACACGGCTGACACGAGCAAGTCCAGGAGGTTCATGAAGCACCTAGATGATAACTTCTTGGTGCAGGTGCTAACGGAGCCAACTAGGAAAGGCGCCCTCCTTGACCTGTTGCTGGAAAACAGAGAGGGTCTGGTGGGAGATGTGGTGATTGGTGGCCGCCTCGGTCATAGCGACCATGAAGTGGTTGAGTTCAAAATTTACGGTGACAGAAGGAAAAGTGCCACCAAAACCTCATCCCTAGATATGGGGAAGGCGGACTTCAGGCTGCTCGGGGAACTAGTCAGCAAGGTCCCCTGGGAAGCTGCTCTTGAAGGCCTTGATGTCCACCAGTGCTGGTCACTCTTTAAGCGATGCCTCCTAGAAGCACAAGATCAGGCAATTCCTAAATACCGCAAGTCAGGCAGGCGCAGCAGGAGGCCGGCGTGGCTGACCAGGAACATTCTTATGGAGATTAGGCGGAAACAGAGAGTGTTTCGCTACTGGAAGGAGGGCCAGGTGACATGGAAAGAATACAGGGATGCTGTTTGTGTTTGTAGGAAGAAAATTCGTGTGGCTAAAGCACACCTAGAGTTGAAGCTGGCTGTGTCTGTGAGAGAAAATAAAAAGGGTTTTTTTAGATATGTGAATGGAAAAAGGAGAACTAAAGAATACATAGGGCCGCTCCTTGATAGGGAAGGTCTTCTCACAGACGATGACATAGGCAAAGCAGAGACGCTTAACGCCTTCTTTGCCTCTGTCTTCAATGCCGATGATGGGCTTTGGGACCCAGGGTGCCCTGAGCTGGAGGACCGGGATGGTGGGGATGACAAACTCCCAACCGACCCTGAACGTGTGCGGGATTTGCTACTCCACCTGGATCCCTACAAGTCCATGGGTCCGGATGGGATTCATCCCCGGGTGCTGAAAGAGCTGGCGGACGTCATCGCGGAACCTCTCTCAATTATTTTTCAACGATCCTGGGAGTCTGGAGAGGTCCCGGTAGACTGGAAGCTGGCAAATGTTGTGCCGATTTTCAAGAAGGGTCAGAAAGAAGACCCTAGCAATTACAGGCCTGTCAGTCTCACGTCAGTGCCTGGTAAAATCATGGAGAAGATGGTTCTCGAACGTATTGAGGCGCACCTGGGGGACAAAGCAGTCATTGGTCCCAGCCAGCATGGGTTTGTGAAGGGTAGGTCCTGCCTAACTAACCTGATTTCCTTTTATGATAAGATCACCCGTATGGTGGACCAAGGGAAACCAGCTGATGTGATTTTTTTGGACTTCAGCAAGGCTTTTGACACGGTTTCCCATAGGATCCTACTGGACAAAATGTCCACCATACAGCTAAATAAAAACATCATACGATGGGTGAGCAACTGGCTAACGGGCAGGGCCCAAAGGGTTATGGTGAATGGGGCTGCGTCAGGCTGGCGGGCGGTCACTAGTGGGGTCCCTCAAGGCTCCATTTTAGGGCTGGTACTTTTCAATATTTTTATAAACGATCTGGATGTAGGAATAGAAGGTATTTTGAGCAAGTTTGCCGATGACACCAAACTTGGAGGAGTTGTGGACTCGAATGAGGGTGGAAAGGCCTTGCAGAGGGATCTGGATAGGTTGGAGAGCTGGGCGATCGCTAACCGCATGAAGTTCAATAAGAGCAAGTGCCGGGTCCTGCACGTGGGACGGGGAAACCCTGGCTGCACGTACAGACTGGGCGATGAGACGCTGGAGAGCAGCCTAGAAGAGAGGGATCTGGGGGTCGTGGTAGACAACAAGTTGAATATGAGCCGGCAGTGTGCCCTGGCAGCCAGGAGGGCCAACCGTGTCCTGGGGTGCATCAAGCACGGCATCGCTAGTAGGTCGAGGGAGGTGATTGTCCCGCTCTACTCTGCGCTGGTGCGGCCTCACCTTGAGTACTGTGTGCAGTTCTGGGCACCACAGTATAAAAAGGACATGAAACTGTTGGAGAGTGTCCAGAGGAGAGCTACGAAGATGGTGAAGGGCCTGGAGGGGAAGACGTACGAGGAACGGCTGAGGGCACTGGGCCTGTTCAGCCTGGAGAAGAGGAGGCTGAGGGGAGACCTCATCGCAGTCTACAACTTCCTCGTAAGGGGGTGTCGAGAGGCAGGAGACCTTTTCTCCATTAACATCAGCGACAGGACCCGCGGGAACGGGGTTAAGCTGAGGCAGGGGAAGTTTAGGCTGGACATCAGGAGGAAGTTCTTCACAGAGAGAGTGGTTGCACACTGGAACAGGCTCCCCAGGGAAGTGGTCACTGCACCGAGCCTGACTGAATTTAAGAAGAGATTGGACTGTGCACTTAGTCACATGGTCTGAACTTTTGGGTAGACCTGTGCGGTGTCAAGAGTTGGACTTGATGATCCTTAAGGGTCCCTTCCAACTCAGGATATTCTATGATTCTATGATTGTTGGACATAGTCACTGTCTTTCATTCAAGAAGCAGTTATTCTGCCTAAGCAGTAATTATGATCTTTCATGAAACCATGTCTCTGACACAACAGCAGCCTCTATCCCAAACACATGTAAAGGAATGTGTTTACAAAAGGGAGACAAAACAAGCACGGGATACGTGGAATTTCCACCCTAACAGTTAAGTCAAAACAGTTAAGTCAAAAAACATTCAGCTTAAATACTGGCTGAACTGTTGTTTGATCCTTGCTATCTAGGGAAATAAAATGGTTTGTATTGAATGACTGCAGCAGTTAGAAAGAGGCTATGCTGTGAAAAATTGGCTGAAACCTTCAGTTTTGATTAATGTTGCCACCTTTTGCCAGCTCAGTTGATTGCTCTGAAAGCTGCAGGTGATGTGGCAATATATCGTAATAGCTCTTTGGTTCTTAATAAATAAATTAATAAATAAAATTAAGAAAGTCAAGAACCTTGGTATTTCTAACAATACCAAACTAAGGAAGAGACCGTTTTCACATGTTGTACCAAAGCTTTACAAGACAGAAAAAAAACCACAATTATTATTTATCATTTATTGTACTTTCAGACATGCTAATTACTGTGTCCTGACACCTAAATGCAACTTTGTTTTTCTGTCTCTTCAGTATTGTTTTCCAAAGTGTTTTGCGTATCTTAGCCATGTGAGGGGAAAGTGTGTGCTCACTTGAGTGCTTTACATTTCTGCATGGTACATTGAGCAGTAATGTGGCTAATCACAGTTGCCCAAAAATCAAGAACCAGATCTTGAAATCCTGAGTTTGACTTTAAAAATAATTTGAAAGCATGGGAAAACTAGTCTCTTTTTATTTGCCTGCTTTTTTTTTTTTTTTTCCTTTTCTTTTCTAACAGGTCACATTCTGGGTTTATTTTCAGGCTTCCACTCATAACCGTAAGAGCTGAACACTTTATAAAATTGTAATTGAGATACCTGTGCAGTCATCGCCTCCAGGTACCAGAGTGCTGTGCATAACGAGTTCTGAGATAAAAATCATGCAGGTTGACACCGTGAAGAATGATATGATCCCTCCCTTCTATTCTATATTATTTCTAATGTGAAGTGGTGTTTGATAGAAAAGAAACGAACAATTGCTGTTACAGAATTTATTGCCCACATGGAGAAGTTATTAATAATAACTTTAAAAACAGACTTTCTAAATGGAATCTGCTATATCTCAATATCAAGACCTTTCACCAGGCAACCATAAAAATTGCTCTCTCCCTTACTTATAGTCTTGATCATGCTGGGAGACTATGATAGTTTTATTGGGACATAAAGTAGTGACATACTTCTGTGATTCCTCTTGTGTCCTTTATAGTATTAAAAATACTGTAAGGGAAGGGAATAATGCTCATTATTATTATTATTAAAATATTAGAAATTATGTATTGTATTATTTTTTTAAAAAAGTTTGATAGCTTCAGTTCCAATCCATTCTCTTTTCTGACTTTACAGTTTTAACAGAGACAGGGAAAATAAATTTTGTGACCCTATCAGATGGAGGATGACCATGCAGCTTAGACCATGGATCATAATGACAAGCCTAGGGATAAGCAAAGGATCAACACAGTTATTTGGCAGATCTTTCCCAAGTCTTAATAACCCTGTAAGACAAATGAAATGCTGTCAGACTTCTATGAAACTGTTGTGGACAGAACGTCATTCAGACAGCTCCAAAAATTGCTCAGCACAAGTTGTATTTTTGAGATAAAAACCATATTGTTTTGATCACTATCCTGTGTCTCCTATGTACATACAATGACTTAGTTCAGGTTCTTCATTCTCAAGCAAGCTATTGGAGAAAGCAGACTTCATTTCAAAATTTTCTGTATCTTATTTGTGTTTTCTGTTGTCACTGTGCTTTCCTCCAAATATGAACAGATGGGGAACTTTCCATACCAAATGACGAAGGAGCTTTGGAGAATGGGCAGCCTCTGGGCTCTGGACCAGTGCTGAGCTCCAGCCAAGTATCGCTTCCAGCCCTAGCAGAACTGGAGTCAGGTTCTGCGCCTGGGGAACCCTGCTCATACGAGGTGCTCCCAACCACAGAGATCATGGATGGAACAGGTAACATCTTGTTTTCAGTATGACATAGCTACTTTAAGCAGTTTGAAACAGGTTTTTGACCTCTTATCCTGAGAAACCATTGTTGAAGACCAAGTTATTCTGGTGGAGAAGGAGCATATAGATTATCGCTGGGTGCTCCATAAGAAATTTTGACTGTCTCAGCATAGCAGTACTTCTGCTATGTACTCTACTTCTACACAAGTAACCTCTTGCATGTCAGGCAAAGTCCTTGCATTTTTGTGAACATTTAAGAGTACATTTCTAACTGTCATGCTACTTCTCAGATGTGCCAATGAGCTGTAGAGGGCTGATAACATTTTTAAACCCTGGGGTATGTCATTTCCTTTACCTGCTGCATGGTGTTGGGTGACATTCACATCACGCATTCTAGGTAAGAAACGGGTTGGGGCTGAAGCAAGGATTGTTGGTGCTGTGCCAGGGGGAACAATGGCAAGGCCGGAGGATAAGGTAATGGCCCAGCTGAAGTGCATCTACACCAATGCACGCAGCATGGGTAACAAACAGGAGGAACTGGAAGCCATCATGCAGCAGGCAGGCTACGACTTGGTTGCCATCACGGAGACGTGGTGGGACCAGTCTCATGACTGGAGTGCTGCAATGCCTGGCTATAAGCTCTTCAGAAGGGACAGGCAGCACAGAAGGGGTGGTGGTGTGGCTCTCTATATTAGAGAGTCTTTTGATGTTGTAGAACTTGAGGCTGGGAATGACAAGGTCGAGTCCCTTTGAGTTAGGATCGGCTGGGACAACAAGGCTAGTGTCCTGGTCGGGGTCTGCTATAGACCGCCGAACCAGGATGAGGAGATGGATGAGGAGTTCTACAAGCAGCTGACAGAAGTTGTGAAATCTTCAGTGCTTGTACTCGTGGGGGACTTCAACTTCCCTGGCATATCCTGGAAGCACAACATAGCCCAGAGAAAGCAGTCTAGGAGGTTTCTGGAGAGCGTGGAAGATAGCTTCCTGACGCAGCTGGTTAGTGAACCTACCAGGGGTGGTGCCCCACTAGACCTTCTCTTCACAAACAGAGAAGGACTGGTGGAGGATGTGATTGTCGGGAGCTGTCTTGGGCAGAGTGACCACGAAACGGTGGAGTTCACTATTTTTGGCGAGGCCAGGAAGGGAACCAGTAAAACCGCTGTATTGGACTTTCGGAGGGCTGACTTTGGGCTGCTCAGGACACTAGTTGGTGGAGTCCCTTGGGAGGCGGTTCTGAAGGGCAGAGGGGTCCAGGAAGGCTGGGCGCTCTTCAAGAGGGAAATCTTAATGGCGCAGGAGCGGTCTGTCCCTATGTGCCCAAAGACGAGCCAGCGGGGAAGAAGACCAGCCTGGCTCAACAGAGAATTGTGGCTTGAGCTTAGGAGAAAAAAGAGGGTTTATAATCTTTGGAAAAGTGGGCAGGCCACTAGGGAGGACTACAAGGATGTAGCGAGGCTCTGCAGGGACAAAATTAGAAAAGCCAAAGCTCATCTGGAGCTCAATCTGGCTACTGCCGTTAAAGAGAACAAAAAACGTTTTTATAAATACATCAACACAAAAAGGAGGACTAAGGAGAATCTCCATTCTTTACTGGATGCGGGGGGAAACTTAGTTACAAGAGATGAGGAAAAGGCGGAGGTGCTCAATGCCTTCTTTGCCTCAGTCTTTAGCGGCAATACCGGTTGTTCTCTGGATACCCAGTACCCTGAGCTGGTGGAAGGGGATGGGGAGCAGGATGTGGCCCTCACCATCCACGAAGAACTGGTTGGTGACCTGCTACGGCACTTGGATGTGCGCAAATCGATGGGGCCGGATGGGATCCACTCAAGGGTACTGAGAGAACTGGCAGAGGAGCTGGCCAAGCCCCTATCCATCATTTATCAGCAGTCCTGGCTATCAGGGGAGGTCCCAGTTGACTGGCGGTTAGCAAATGTGACGCCCATCTACAAGAAGGGCTGGAGGGCAGACCCGGGAAACTACAGGCCTGTCAGTTTGACCTCAGTGCCAGGGAAGCTCATGGAGCAGATTATCTTGAGTGTCATCACGTGGCACTTGCAGGGCAACCAGGCAATCAGGCCCAGTCAGCATGGGTTTATGAAAGGCAGATCCTGCTTGACGAACCTGATCTCCTTCTATGACAAAGTGACGCGCTGGGTGGATGAGGGAAAGGCTGTGGATGTGGTCTACCTTGACTTCAGCAAGGCATTTGACACCGTCTCCCACAGCATTCTCCTCAAGAAACTGGCTGCTCTTGACTTGGACTGGCGCACGCTTCGTTGGGTTAGAAACTGGCTGGATAGCTGGGCCCAAAGAGTCGTGGTGAATGGAGCCAAGTCCAGTTGGAGGCCAGTTACTAGTGGCGTAGCCCAGGGCTCAGTGCTGGGGCCGGTCCTCTTTAATATCTTCATCAGTGATCTGGACGAGGGCATTGAGTGCACCCTCAGTAAGCTTGCAGATGAAACCAAGTTAGGTACGTGTGTTGATCTACTCAAGGGTAGGAAAGCTCTGCAGGAGGATCTGGATAGGCTGCACCAATGGGCTGAGGTCAACTGCATGAAGTTCAACAAGGCCAAGTGCTGGGTCCTGCACCTGGGGCACAACAACCCCAAGCAGCGCTACAGGCTGGGAGATGAGTGGTTGGAGAGCTGCCAGGCAGAGAAGGACCTGGGAGTGATGGTGGACAGTCAGCTGAATATGAGCCAGCAGTGTGCTCAGGTGGCCAAGAAGGCCAACAGCATCCTGGCTTGTCTCAGAAACAGTGTGACCAGCAGGGCTAGGGAGGTGATCGTCCCCCTGTACTCAGCTCTGGTGAGGCCGCACCTCGAGTACTGTGTTCAGTTTTGGGCCCCTCACTACAAGAAGGACATCGAGGTGCTTGAGCGGGTCCAGAGAAGGGCGACAAAGTTGGTGAGGGGTCTGGAGAACAAGTCCTACGAGGAGCGGCTGAAGGAGCTGGGCTTGTTCAGCCTGGAGAAGAGAAGGCTCAGGGGTGACCTTATTGCTCTTTACAGATACCTTAAAGGAGGCTGTAGTGAGGTGGGGCTTGGTCTGTTCTCCCACGTGCCTGGTGACAGGACGAGGGGGAATGGGCTAAAGTTGTGCCAGGGGAGTTTTAGGTTGGATGTTAGGAAGAACTTCTTTACCGAAAGGGTTGTTAGACGCTGGAACAAGCTGCCCAGGGAAGTGGTGGAGTCACCATCCCTGGAAGTCTTTAAAAGACGTTTAGATGTAGAGCTTAGGGATATGGTTTAGTGGGGACTCTTAGTGTTAGGTCAGAGGTTGGACTCGATGATCTTGAGGTCTCTTCCAACCTAGAAATTCTGTGATTCTGTGATCTTCCAGTAGTTAACACAGCCAGCTGCACCATCCTAGGTGAGGCTCTCTGCGGTTCTTCCCTAGCCCATAAAGAGAGACAGCAATACTGTACATCTAGGTTAACTCCTCTTCCTGCATCACTTAATGTTGAAGTTGTGGATGAAGGTCAAGTGAGTAAAATCGACTAGTAGAAGCACTCCTCTGTGATCATGCACAGTTGTGCGTCCTCTTTGGAATGAAATAGCCCCCAAGAGATGCTTTTACAGTTATAGGATAAATTTGAAGACTGCCTGCTCACATATCTGGTTCTGAGCAAGCTATGGTGACAGACCATCTGAGATGTGACATTTTAAGCTCTTGATATGTGCTCAAGAAGTGGGAATATGTCCCAGCTCAGCGTAAGGGAGCTGACTTCTGTCAGAGGTAATGGGAAATTCAGCTGTTATCTCAATGTGTGTTACTCTTTCTCTCTTTTTCTCTCTTTCTCTATTTCTTTCTGTGTTAATATGATGTCTGAGTGAAATCTATTAGTCAGTCCTAATCCGCATTCTTGCACTGCTTTTCTCGTCTTAAAATGTCTGTATCCACTGCTGCTTTGCTCATAACGTTGTTGCGTCTATGATGTGGTTGTGTCCTCCAGTGTCTGAAGAGAGCCCCACATCCAGTGAATCCAGCGTCCTCCTGTCCCAAGATCCTACAGCTAAGCCAGTCCTGCTACTTCCCCCCAAAAAATCTGCTGCTTTCCCTGGAGACCATGAGGACACCCCAGTGAAACAGTTGTCCCTCCTCAAACAGCCCCCTGCCCTGCCTCCTAAACCTATTGCCAGGATTGCCAGCCACTTAACTGGTAAGTAGGTGTTTCTAGACCCTCAGCATCACCGTGCCCCATATAGGAAAAACTTGCCCTTATAGCAAAGTCCTCAATGTCCTTCCGTAAACCTGTTTGCACATGTTGTTGTGTGTACTAGCAATGTGTGTGTGTTGTACCTAGGGCAGGGATTGCAAAGAATTTTCAGACTATACCGTCATCAAGGTTGCTTCAGGACTCTTTCCTTCTCCTCCCTGTTTACCTAGTGCTACCATGACATTTCCTGACAAACCCTCCTCACTCCTATTTAGCAAGATGTACCATCACCGCAAAAATGGCAGGATGTATTTTGATGGGAAATGAAATAACAATAAAATACAATGATATCTTTAAATACTTTTTAACGAGAAAAGAGGCAGGGCAGGGGCAGGGTAGGTAGGAGGGAGAGGGAGAATTTTTCTTTTGTCTTGTTGCTTCTACCCTCAACTGACATCTGGGCAGGTCACCCCAGACACATTCCCGTTATTTTTCCATATGTTTCTCTTTTGTCAGGCCCCTTGATCCTTACACAGGCCATTCTGTCACCTGCCTTCTTACCATTTTGCTTCCCTGCTCACACAACCTGCCCACCTGCTCCCCTTTCCACCCCAGCTCTAACTGTTCCCCTCCTACTGATGAGTCCCGTTGATGATGGGTAGCTTCAGTTCCCACTGACTAGGATTTTGGTGTTCTACAGGTTATGCTGCTGTTTCTCTCTCTCTGCATGCCAGCTAGAAACAAGTCAGATTCCTTTTTTGTGTCCCAGATCTTTTACAAGCGTCCAGGCTCTCTGGGATTCAAAGCTTTAGACACATGTGGAAGGAGGATTGGTGGATCTTACCTGACCAGTCTGCTCTCTCCAGTCTGTCATTTAGGCCACTGAGACAAAGGATTATTGCACTTATACAGACCAAAAAGGGCTCCCTAAGTCTTTATCTACATCCTTTGAACAATCTGCTCATAATTGCAGCTGCTTCCCAGGAGGCAGCACCTTGAAATCCCATGCTCAAGACGAGGTATGGTGCATCTCTGTACTGAGGCAGCTCCTGGCCTCTCACTGGGTTGCTCTTCTGGTGTTAATGCTGCTCCAACCTTTTCAGGACTAATGTGAGAAATGTTCAGTCCACATTAATACATTCTAGGTACTTCTTTTTTTTTTTCCTGTCAGTTAATGCTTGTTTAATTCAGGTTAAGAAATATATCAGGAAGGAGCTCATTAGGGAAGAGCATGTTCTGGTTTTCTTTCATATTTCTATGTTGTCTCTTCATGTTTTTGTTTGGGTTGCTACACGTTTTCTTCTGTATAGTTTTGTTCATTGTATTTGGAATCTCTTACTTTCTTGCCTACCAAAATCTCCACATAAGGACTGTTTTTTTTGCCTTATACTACAAGACAAATTGGCAGTTCTGCAACGTGGAAAGCCATGCGGCAGAATTGCTGGCTTCAGGTGAGGACAACACCAGCTTCCTATATCTCCCATAACACTCTGTTCCAATTACAAGAAGCTTTTCAGAAATGAGGCCAACATGAAAAAAAATAAAAAGAAAATTATAAAGAATAATGAAAAAAGGAATAGTGTAGGAAAAACCTCTGGCACTAAGTATCCATTAAAAATAAGGCTTTCCTCTGCATGAGATAGCGGAAGAATTACAGGATGGGTGCTTCTGATAGTTGTTGTTTTTTTCAGCTGGTAATTTTGTGTGAAGTAGTACCACTCTCAAGCTATCAGCATAAATTAATTGCTTGATGGTAACAACTTTTCCAATGAAAGTGAAACAGAGCTGTGTCTTCTCTTAGTTCATGATAACTTTTAGTGGTCTCTCATCCAGTTCTAAATGATCTCTTGTATGCACATAGACACAGACTCTTACACATGAATATGCAAAGCCATCAGGGGAAAGGAACAGAGACTCAGATTTGGTCAAAGGACCCTAATTTAATTGACAGCTAGCCCTACTAGAACTGAAAGCCTGATTTAGACGTATTTTATAAATAAGAGCACTGAGTTTATTCTTAAGGGTCCATTTACTTGGGTGGTCTAAGGATATACATGTTCAATGCCTTGTGTTCTTCAATGGTAATTATATTAGCCATGTGTAATCTTTGAAAATGAGCAATCAATCCTAATGAAGCACCCTCATCAGTGAGAAGCAGAATTAATGCTATTCTTTTGCTAATTACTCCAGACATCCACAGCTTGTGTGTGAGAAAACAGATGAAATTGGAATTCTGGCATTCAAGGTGAAGACTTTTCTCTTCTCATTGCATACCCATTTTTCTATTAAATATTTTGTGAGAGAGTTGAAGGACAAAATAAGACATACCAGGCATGACTAGTGAGAAGTTACAGTGGTTTATGGTCTGGTAGCTCTGTTCAAGAAGACTGCAAGAGGAAATGTGATGTTGTAATGGTACGCATCTGAGTTGGAAGATGCAGAACTGCCTCTGAACTTCAGTCTTAAGACAGTTACATATATGTACGTGTATATGTAAAGAAAAATATGCTTTATACAAATATAAATGAGAATATGGTATTATAAAATCAAATCACTATAGGCATAGTCAGCATAAAGTTAAAAAATAAAAAAAGGAGAAATATATTAAACACACAGTGTGAGGGAAGAAAAGCTTCCTGTGAGTCTGACCACATTCTTGCTAAGAACTTGTCCCAAAGTTCTTCAGGTTTGTAGGTATGAAAAAAGTATGAAGATATGAAGCTCTTCAGGTAAAGGTATGAAGATTGACTTAGAATATTTGCCAAATAGTGTAATACAAGGTTTAGGAAAGAGAGAGAAATAGTCTTCACCTCTAAAAGCATTTGTGAACCATCTCAGATATCTCTGTGCCTGTGCCAAGACAAAGATTGGCCTTTCCCTTGATAAGAAATGCACATAAAAGTGCAAGCCTAAAATAAACAAGCAAGATCACATTTAATTTTGTGGAGGATGAAAATGAAATATCAGTTTTAAAAGTGATAGGAAGAGAGAATTGCCTGTAGCAAATATAAATCAGACAGCTTTGGTATGCCTCTTCTCTAGCTCAGGTACTGTGGGGATGGGACAGCAGAGGAATGGGGGCAGAGCCAAGAGCAGACAGCAGAGCAGACACTGGGAGTGACGCCACCACCACTGCAGAAGTGTGCTTGGTACTTTGCTTCATGCCATCACCCAATGCTCTTGGTGATGCTGCATCCACAGAGAATGTCCATATCACAGTACTAGGTGTGGAAATACCAACACAGACTCTCTCTCTACTTTTTCCTCCATTGGAGTGAAGCAGTGTTACTCTCTTAATCAGTGATTCCTTTATAGCACAGGACAGGCAACCCTTGCAGAACAATGTGATTCTTAAATGTTTCGATACCACTGTTGCACTGCTCTGCATTTCCTCTTGGCCAGTTACCTCCTGGTAAGCCTTACAAATATGATCATTATTATATATGATCATACCCTTCATGGGTAGAATTTCTTTCATCATTTTAATTCCCCAATATTGACATGCAGTACTCAGGCATTTAGAACAACAATTGCAACCCCCCTTATTTGGTTAAAAATAGAGGAGAAAGTGAAATCATCACCTGGGACAAAATGTAACTGGACTGCCAAGATTAAGTCCCCACATTACCATAATATCTTTAATGGCCAAAAGCGACAAAAATACTGGTCATATATGGTTTGATAGACAGCATACCCCGGCTCATTTTGGTCCTGATTCACGAAGTGGTTACTTTTAGTCAGTACAGATGATGTTTCTGAAATTAATCTGATAGTTTCTGTTGAAAGAACTGAATTACCAGTTACCCATAAAGTCCCCTAAAACTTCAGATAACAAATTATGCGCCACCAAGCAGAAGTCTCAGCAACACCTGAGTGTGTCTGAGTCTAAAATTAGCCTAATTTTATGCAAGGGTGTAGTGTGGCCACTAGGGATACTCTACTAGGATGTATCTGGCCACTCAGCAGTTGTATTTTAAAAACAGCTTTGAAAAACCTTTTCCATTCTCTTGCTTTCTTCAGTCAACATTTTAAGGAGAGGCATGGCACACTTTTTTTTTCTTTTTTTTTTCTGTGCCTTCTATTTATGTCTCTGTAGAATAAGGACTAATTCATAATTAGAGGCAAGCATTTAACAGGATAGGAAACCCTGCAAACCCCCAAAGCTTCTGATAATGTGCACATGCCAAAGATGAGGTCTGAGAGTATGGTTGTTTGGTGCCCTGATACATTGCAGCAACACAGCTGATAGTTAGTTACAGTGTTATGAAAGTATTTACTGCTACAAATTTTTCAGCAAATATTCTGTGCAGTATTTTATTATCTGACAATAACGCATCTTAGAAGGCTTTTCTGTAGATGAGCCCATGAAATTATCTGAAAGCTTCCTGTTCTGTTCTGTTATCTCCTGCTGTCTGCTCTGGCAGGCTATATTTATGAAGACAGGTTACATTCATGAGGGGGCAATGGAGAATTCTCTTTTCACTGTGTGCTTGAAGGAGAGACAGCAGAGAAAAAGTGGGTTTCCTTTCCCAGCACATCCAGGTTCTCACAGGATACTGGGCCCTGATGGAGTTGCTCTCTCCACACTTCATCTGCCTGCTCTTACCTGGAGGGTAGTACCTAGCACATATAGGCAGCAGGAAATCTTTTCATCTTTGAAACTCTTTCTAAGGCTCTTCAGCGAATTCATACAAGCCTATAATTTTCAGAGCTATAATTTTCAACCTTAAGGATGAGCATGCTCAGTTTATTTATGTTCTCCGAATGCAACAAACTACAACAGTTGGTCAGGGTCTTGAAAATGTCAAAAGACTGCACGACCTGTCTGGGCAAACCTATTGCACTGTTTGGTTCTTCTCATTTGGGCATAACACTTTATAATTAAGTCTTGAACCTCTCGTTTCAATTTTTACCCATTGACTCTCCTCCTCCCACCATGTACCACTGTGGAGAGTTGATAACCTCCTTCTAGGTACTGGCGTGTTGCTGTTATGTCCCTCCCC